GTGTCTGTGTCTGTGTCTGTGTCTGTGTCTGTCTGTTATCGTATATATATATATATATATAGTACTTATCTGTTTAGATATCATGTTTGACAATTATAGTCATGTACGGTCGTTTCAGTATGCGGTCACATAGCCCTGTAGAAATTGTTTTTTGTGTAGTTGTTTTAGGTGTAAGGAATGATTATTTTGAATTTTCATCCTTGTATTTATACACAAATATTATCATTCTGAGTTCTTTGCAACTATGAGAGATGTTCGGCAATCACGTTGTGGACGTTAGCGTTCCACAGCAATCAATCACAAGCTTCGGCAACCGACGCTTTGACTTATATGGAATACAATCATAGTACTCTGAGCGAATAACCCTAAATCCGAAATGGTGTGCCAGTTGCCTTCGATTTTTGTACTACTTTATAGATAGTATGTACCAGTTATCACTGACAACCGATTCACCGACGACCCAACTGATAGATACCTACGTAAACTAGTGCTGTTCTTCCTACCTGTGTAGTAACACACAACGATCAACTCGTTGTGTACTCTCGAGCCGGACATTGTGCGGCAGAGTTGTAGACATCCTTTTGAGAATTTTAGGGGTGTACGTAGGTGTTCAGTGCACTATCGCAAACCAAAACACAACACACAGCGGAGAGCGCATTGATTGTCGCAGGGTTAGTTGGGCTTAATTATGAACGTTGATATATTACCTCGGATGTCGCTCCCGAATCCTACTTGATCTTTTTCGGCTCAGTAATGGTAGTAGCTGTAGCAGGGTTCGTTTTACCTTCAGCCTCGTTCGCTGACGGTTGAGTGTCGGGATAGTACCACGCATCAAGCTTGCACATGAACTTGTATCCGAATATAAAGGAATAATACACCATCAGCCCACCTAGGATTGGTGCTACAACCGTGAATAGAAATGTTTGACACCAAAAGTCTGTTCGCTCGTCCCCTGTAAGACCTTCTAGACCCGCGATCCACTTCTGGAGGCCTAACATGGTATTTAAAGCGGACATGTTAAAGGTGCAAAGTCTGTTTCTTTTTGTGAGGGGTTAGCGGACAAAGGTACCACTTTTTATTTCCTTCTTGCGTGTTTCCACTTCCCTGATCAATGATCTGAGTGATCCCTCCCTCTGCTGGCGGCCCGGGGGGGTCGTGGGGTCAGGGAATAGCAAATAATACAGTCATACTTATGTAGCCTCCTACAATACGTACCCTAAAGACTAAAACATTAAACCCTAAATACCACTATTATGGCACTGTAGCTATAGCTATGTACTAATGATGTAGTATACAGAGAGAGAGTAGAAAACTAGAGAGACTCTAGTAGAGAGAGACTAATAAAAAAGAGACTGAGAGTCAGAGTAAACAATGAACCATGAAAATAGGGATCTTGGAATCCAATCGAAGCCCCACTCAGAGACTCCGATCTTCGGGATGAAAAACAATGTTGTCAAAAAAGAAAAAATATACATAAATATGTAGTCTTCTCAGTCTGGGACTCTGGGGAACCGGGAAATAAAACCAGAAGAAAAAACTCACTCTCTTGCTTGAGAGGAGTCGTCAGAGTGAGAGAACAGGTTGGCAAGTGGCAGCTGCGGGAGCTGGCCGAGACTGAGAGTGGTAGGCCGCCCCGTTTAAAAAAAACTCTCTCTACTACTGGGAGTTGTATCACTATCTACTACGTGCTATCTCTCTAGTAGATAGCTCATAGATTCTCTCAATCTTTCTTCCTACTACTAGATAGAGAGCGAGAGAGACTTTGTGTGTGTGCGTGTGTGTGTGTGTGGCTGTGTGCGTGTGCGTGTGCGTGTGCGTTTGCGTGTACTTGTATACGTGTGCTTGTGTGACTGTGTCTGTGTCTGTTAGTGACTCTCTCACTCTGTCTTTGAGAGTGAAGGTCGGTCATGAATGTGTTGACGATCAGGTATCATTTAGTTTAATATTTGAAAGCAGATGATCACATTTCTGTAAACTTCTGTTCATCTGCTATTTTAACGGAATACATGTCGTCACTGAGTTTTCACCGTTCTACATAGTGTGGTATCAATGACTTTCGCTGACTCTTCTCTTGTCATATGTATACACTTGTATTTCGGGTACCTCATATTCTAACCAGTACCTTTTATACCAGAGTGAATATGAGGTACCCAAAATACACGTACAGACTCACTAAGTCGCTATACACGCACATTTACACCCCCATTACCATAGCGTCTATTTTAGAAGGCTATGCCAAACAGCCAAGTTGTAGCCGAAGGGTACAGTGGTACATATGGGTGCGAGGTAGTCCTAGGAAGAAAAGAGTAACGAGCAAGAGGAGTAACGGTAGAGATTTTCCTATTGAATGAGAGCTAGGTTTAATCAGTAGTGACTTGTATTGGCTACGAGTTAATCTCGGCTCATCAGTCCTAACTCCTAAGAGGAAGGACATATGAGCTATTTGGATAATAGTCGGGAGGTTAGTATAGTCTCGTTCATTTAGTATACCTGGTAGATTTAGTACGTTGAAGCTTAATATCTAGTTTAGTTAAATAATGGGAAAAGGTGTACTCTAGTAAATACGTGATCTACAAAGTACATATTTATGACCATGTGCTATTTATTTTTTTAATATTTTTTTTAATATAATATACTGTTGTATGGCTAGTTTAGTAGTTTGACCCAGTTGTGGTACAAACTAAAATCCCCTATAACTTTTGAACCAATAGTCCGATCGGGATGAGATTTTATAACATGCGATTTTTACCCGTCAAGACGAACAATTTGTGTCTTCTAACTACCAATGCGATTCATTTTTAAGGTACCTTCGGGTCAGCATTCAGCAAAGTCTATATATAGTCTTTTATTAGTCTATAGTCTATACTCTAGTATTGTTGGAATATGACTATTCATTTATATCTGAATTCTGATCAGATTTATATTTATATTCAATATCCCTCTCCTGAGACTCCTGACTGGTCACTCTTCCGTCCAATTTTTTATGTTGTCCGGGCCTATCTTACTCATTCACTGTATTGACTATTGAGTACTCATTTGACTGATAGAGTAAGCTAAATAGCTTTTAGCCTCATGAAGTGCGGCTGCCGCCTGCCCAGGCTGCCGGGAGTGCCGGGCTGCCGGCATCTTATTTTATTTGTTTATCTTACTAAAAAAAATCGTCTTTACAGCACACAGGGGTAAATACTAAAAATAGTAAAACGCAGTCACAACACAAGTGAGTGAACAAACTGAACTTCTTGTGAGTCTGTGAGCCTGTGAGCCTGTGAGGTGACAACTGCTGACAACAAGTGAACACACAAGGAATTAACACCACAGTCTACACTTGGTTCTTCGTCTGCGAGGTTGTATGTATGCACTATGCAGTTCTATTTCAAGACTCGCACAAGATTGAAGAGAGAGAGAAACAAGCATGATAGCGAGAAAGGTGAAGGGGCTCAGGCCTCAGTGAGTAGAGAGAGTCTTTAGAGTTTGACTCTGTGAGGCGTGACGTGGAGTTTGTGCGAGTGTGCGTGGCCCTGGGGCCTGGGCCCCTAGGGGAGTGGGGGCTGGGGCCCTGGGCCTGTGATGAATTGTAATTTTGGCAATGAAGATTGATTGGAGAACTACCAAAGTCTGAACCTGTGTTTCATCCCAAAATACTATGGCGCATCATATTTTCAATATATGTATGTAGGGAACTATCCTGTAGAGAGAAGGTTGCACGCAGTAGGCCGCAGGGCGTACTCATAGCGTAGGTTGAGGATTATTATAGTGTTTACATGGTATGGTAAAAATAGAGCCTACATTTATACATAGATTATACTATATATAAATCAACAATGGTTCCATTTTCTTAGCAGGTATCAATAGTACAGTGAATACATACACAAGGAATAAGATGTCTGCATTTAAAATCTTCGCCTTTGCAAGTTGGGGCTATGACCTGGAAAAATAGAGCAGTTATGGCACCCTGCACTAGATGCAGAGCCGATCCTGTCACACGAGTACCTAACGTTGAATTGATGAGCCGGTACTATAGCGAGAGGTCAGAGTTTGGTATGATATTGACAGAAGCCACATCCGTAAATGCCATGGGTGTTGGATATCCTGGTACACCTGGTATTTGGAGCGACGAGCAGACCAAAGCATGGTCATCAATTGTGGATGCAGTACACGAACAGGGTGGCACCATTATCAAGCAGCTTTGGCATGTGGGCCGAATCTCACACCCTAGTTCGTCCGCAAGTTGAGCTTGGGGCACCTCGGGCGTTGACGCTGGAAGAGATCGCACAGACTGTCGAGGACTACAGAATAGGTGCAGAAAATGCCAAGAAAGCCAGTTTTGATGGTATTGAAGTCCACGGTGCCAATATTTTTTTAGTAGAACAATTTCTGTTCGATAGTCAGAATAAGCGCACATGCGGTTCATGCTTGAGGTCACAGATGCAGTTATTGGTGTGTACGGAGCGTCGAGAGTTGGTATGCAGAATACGGAGATTCTGATATGAAAATGGTATATACACACGTGGCACAAGAATTGGAACGAAGGAATATCGCGTTCATCTTTGCACGGGAGAATTGGCTGGATGAGAATATCCCCGAGATTGGTCCTAGTGTAATCAAGGCCAATTTATCCGGTGTGTTCATCGCGAATGAAAAGTTCAACCTGGAGACGGGTGAGAAAGCAATACAGGATGGCAAGGCAGACGCTATCGGTTATGGGATCCCAGCAATCAGCAATGCCGATCTCGTGAAGAGATATATGGTGGGAGCGGAATTGAACAAACCCAACTTCGCGCTATTCATGGGTTACGATGTAGGCAATGAAGGTCTTAACGACTACCCTTTACTTCTCACAGCCGAGGCGCATTGAATTCATCCTTTTTGACAATAATGGAATCCTTTTTGATGTTAAACAAATTAAAAAATACCTTTTTATTCTATATTCTTCATAATCTCATGTGTTATAATAGTCAGTACAGAACCCCTTAGATCTCGGTAGTACATGGCTACTGCGTACGATATTACATAGAGATCATGAGTTTTGTCGCTGTTCAGTGTTCTGTCTTCATAATCTTATGTGTTATAATAGTAAGAACTCCTTAGATCTCGGTAGTGCATGGTCACTACATACGATATTAAATAGAGATCATGAGTTCTGTCGCAGTTCAGTGTTCTGTCTTCATAATCTCATGTGTTATAATTGTAAGAACTCCTTAGATCTCGTTAGTACATGGTCACTACGTACGACATTACATAGAGATTATGAGTTTTGTCGCTGTCAGTGAACCGATATCGCCAAATTTATGAAACACTTTTCTAGTAACATTTCCCCGCGCACCGGCTTTCCAGTTTCCACACACAGGAGGGGGGAAGAGGGGTTGACGAATTAAAGGTTTTTTAATAATAATAAAAATGCGCCGGGAAAGGATATGCATGTAAATATGTACTTATGTATATAGTACGTAATATGTAAGTGGTAAAAAAAAATATTTTAAAAAAGGACCACAACAAGCGTCAGCCGTCAAGACTTCAAGACAGCGAAATCGTTGAAAATAATATATACATATATGTACATATGTAGAATATAGGAATACAGAATATATATAATTGAGTGAACCACACACACGTCATATACATACATGTACATATGTAGAATATAGGAAAACAGAATATATACAATTGAGTGAACCACACACACGTCTATTTCATTAAATCCTACTCGCACTATACCATTCTGTGCGAACTTTCACAATGGCGATAGTGGTGAAACCATCGCGGTCGCAGACGGCTCAGGCACAGAAAAGTGGCAACAATAAGCCACAAATGCTGCCACATCTATTCGGCGAGAAAGATGAGTTTGAAGATCCCTCACTGTGGGTGGCTGTGACTACGTACCTAGCTTATGCGACCTTGATCGTATTCGGCCACCTCAGAGATTTCTCACGGAACTGGGGAATCGAGGTCACGCATGTGGCAAAGGAGAAGGGAAATAAGGTGTGCTATGCATGGTGTGTCGTGGGTACCGGATTTGGTTGCCACTTTGAGGGGTATTCTCTGCTTGTGCAACGGTCATGTAACTTAACTGAAGTTACACTTAGAGCTGACTGGAGTATGTCATGATGACTGCTTCTGTGGTTATAACACTATCCGTCTGTATACCAAGCCGTTAGATGCACTGTTGCAATACGGCTGTTGAACTGATGTCTCAGATATTATCTCCCACGAGCAAGCGATGCATGAGGCTTCAGAACTATGATACAATTGTGCTTGCCACAATTCAATTATCACTCGTTCTGAACGTTGCGTGTGATTCAACTTTACAGTACAGTAAATATATGTATATATATGTATATATATATATATATATATATGTGTGTGTGTGTGTGTGTGTGTGTGTGTGTGTGTGTATGTATGTATGTATACGTGTGTGTCTCTCTCTCTGTACCTGTGTCTGTGTGTCAGTGTATGTGTGTTTGTATGTATATATATATACATGTGTGTGTGTGTATATATATATATTGTATGTATGTATGTGTGTTTATGTATATATATATAGATATATATGTCTACGCATATATATATATGTATATCCTTAATTTCTATATACGTATATACGTGTCTATATTATAAATATATATTTCTATGTTTTTGTATATGTATGTGTGTCTATATTACAGATACATACTTGTATATATATATATATTATATATATAAACGTGCGTGTGTTAATGTGTGTTTATATATGTGAGTATGTATATACATATATATATATATATATATGTATAAATTTATATATATATATATATATATATATATTATCTGCAAAAAAAATTGTCTCCACTTTTCTGTGAGTTTCGTTCATATGTTTTCGTGCATCCCGTTAATTGCGTGGATTTACACAATGAAGTTGTATCTATGTGCGGTCGATGAAACGTTTTTTATTTCATGTAGTATTTGGACGAGCATCGAACATATGTATTGCTATTGCACGACCTTGGAAGCCCAAGTAAACGTTGTTCAACGTTCAATGTCAATATTATCTGGATATGCTCGTATACCTTCGTCATATACACACATACACAAATAAACGCGCTGGCCCCGCATACACTCACACGCATGCACCCACACAAATACACTTGTATACTATCACATGCACCACAACACTCCACATACACATGCACACGCACATACATATATATATATATAAATATATATATATATATATTTTTATGTGTGCGTGTGTGTGTGTATGTATATGTATATGTATATGTATATATTGTTTTATATATTTTATTATATGTATATTTATATATATGTGTGTGTGTGTGTGTGTGCGTGTGTGTGTGTATGTATATGTATATGTATATATTGTTTATATATTTATTATATGTATATTTATATATATATATATATATATATATATATATATATATATATATATATATATATATATATATATATATATATATATATATATATATATATATATA